CCCACTAGTTGACTGCAGTAATATTCACGGGAAATCTCCCACATATAAAGGACGGGGGTGCTCGTCGGAAATTTTGAAAAGAACTCCTAAGAGCTACCAAGATACTGTTTTGTGGGCGTGGTATGAAATGTTCTTCACCCCTAAGAGGTACCAATTCTAAAACAACACATTGTCTCCTGTCATATTTTCGGCTCAATACCCTAAAAGGTACCGCAAACACTTCTGCTGTGGACCTTTTTAGACTAAACACACTAAGAGGTACCAAAACTGCACGTCAAGCACCGCTCTCCTTTTTGTATAAGAATCTCCCCCGGGTATTCATGTCGTGCATGCAAACACTCACCGGCACAAAATAGCTGTCTTATCCCCGAAGAGATGGATAGGAGATCTTGAAATGATGGAGTTACACTGACGTAGTCTGACCTGGATGCGATCTCCTCCAGCTCTGCTCGATCTACTCCATTGCCAACACCAAGAACATACACAGTGATCCCCTTGTTTTTAATTCCTTGGGAGGCTTCCGAAAGTCTGGTGTAGTTTCCTGTTGTGGTTTGCTTCCCGTCTGTGATCACAAAGGCCAACTGCCAAAATTCATCAACGACATAACGGTTTGATTTTGTCAGCAGTGCTTGACACGAATGGCAAATGAGCGGTAGATGTGGCGAAAACCGCTTAAAAAAGCAGGATTCGCGTTTTGACTGACTGACTGACTGACTGACTGAATGAATGAATGAATGAAAGAAAGAAAGAATGAATGAATGAATGAATGAATGAATGACTGAATGAATGGAAATGAATTTGTAGTTCCAATGAATGATGTTTTCTAGGATAAAAGTATAATTCAAGACAACTTGGCATGTTTTAAACTTACGTGCGAAAACCGTAGATCGACCTTAAAGTCCTTAAAAATGACACAAAGAAGTTGTCTGCTCGTGACATTTTAAAACACTGCTGGCGAACATTTGTTGATAGTATTTGAGCCCATCAAAAGTGGCCAGGCATTAATATAGTAACCACTTAAAGAGTGCAGTGGCCTAATGGTGGTTTAATGGTTATTTTATTGGGACTTCCCAGAGTAGTTCTGTTGCATTCTAACTTTGAAGTGCTTTTCTCCATCTAAGAGTGAATAGATATTGGGTGGCAGGCGGGGTTGGGCGCGAAGGGGGGGACGATACATCATGTAGACTAACGAGGCTCTGACTTACCTTCGGCACGGCTGGTCTCATCCCGTTAGTGGTCTGGAAAAGGTCTCTGTCTGCAAGAAGAAGTGCTTTGTCTGTGTAGGTAAAGCCACGCTGCCAACGCATTTCATCAAACAATCGGTTAACCTGGTCGACACCCTGAAAATTACTGAACCTCATCACTACTTCCGGATTGCCACTGTACGCCACGGCTGCTATATGTGTACCAGAGTCGCTAACGTCCAGTTTGCTGACCAGTGCTTTAAGAAATCGTTTCATTCGCTGCCAGTTGCTTCTCCCAATACTGCCAGAAGAATCAATAATAAAAGCGATGTCCACAACGCTGCGACATTCTTTATCTGATGAGAAGGAGTAGTAAATATGCAAAAGCTTAGTGCAAACATAAGGAGTTCTTACGAGTATTGCTGCGCCCTAATATTTTGGACTAAAATGGAGAGATTTGGGTATTGCCTTCCTGTTGCCTCCCTATACAAGGTGTTTAAAGACACCACCTCGATCGATAGCATTGGAAACCCCACCAACTAATTCTAGACCAGCATCGCGTACGGAAGTTGACCAAATTCCTAGCAGTTCTATTAGTAACGTCAATCTGACTTCAGCAACGGCAAAATAAACAACTAAACACGAGAACAAAATTACGTCACTTGTGACCACTTTTAAAAGAAAACTACAAAATACACTGATAAAATATTTATGAATCATTGACAGACAGTGCGATACGTTATTTCAGATAATGAGTAACTAATCTCTTCAATATGAAACAACTTTTAACGAAATTAACAAAAAATAATGTAACTAATAAGTACAAAAAAACCTAACGTACCGCAGGGTCCTCGCTTTTCAACAGCAACATCGATATTCAACTCACAGGCTTGTCTTTTCATATGACACTCGCTCAGATCCTGCACATGATCAGACGTACATACCGGCCTTAATATGTTGGGACAAGTAGGACAAATACATTGTGCCGTGTTATTCACTACTCGGCAGCCGATATTGTGAGGAGCATTGCAGCCCTCAGTCTTGCACGGATCTGGAAATAAAATATAAAGAAAAGTGTGGATTACTCGGTCACCGTGGATCAGTTTAATGCAGATAAGTGGCAGATGAGCACAACTTCATAAATACCTGTAGCAGCAGTTGGCGATGGCGTTGTCGGTGCTGGTGTTGTCACTGCTACAAAGGAAGAACAATTATTACCTCAAACCAAATATTACAAACTGAATCCAATATAACGAATAGGATTTTCTCGTGATTAATTACTCATGTTAATAGAAAGGAAAAAAAAATTTATCAAGTGACTATATAGTATTAAAGTAAGATATCTGCGAAATTTTGGGAGGCTGAGAGAAGGCCTAAAACACACATTCACAGTTGACGTGTTTCATTTGTTTGATGCTAAATGATTACATTTTAATTTATTCACTCAGCGCCGAATCATGGGGAAATCACTATTTTCCCACAACCGCTACTAATCTCGCAATGTGATTGGCAAATTTGCCGTTGTCGATAAGAGTCCAGACAACGCTGCTCGCGTCAATGTGTCACGCATTGCCTTTTTCAGCTCGCGCACTGAAAAAAAACATTTTCTTTGACGTTGGTATTCTGGTAAAAAACAAATCGAAATGTGGTTTAGCGTGGTCTGTACTCTTATCGACAACGATACGAGTCATCACAGTGGTCAAAATGTTGTGGACTCACGAGGCGCAGCAGCAGTTAAATGTAGCTACATATGTTTTCACGGCTCGACAAGGATAGCTAGCCAACCAGTTATCAAACTATCTTAATAGATGATATAAAAACGTCATGACTTACTCGCTTGATTACCTCTTGGTTTTGTCATATTCTTTGCAATGGATTGCACTTGTCGCGGGAGATCACTATATGACGGCAAGTAGAACAGATCCTCTGGTCTCTGGACGGGAACATCAGATCTATCGCCTATAGATATGACGTACGTTGTGACGTCACGGTTTCTCATCAGCTGCACAGCGTCTTCCAAGGACCCTCCATCGGGAGATTGTCTTCCACCAGTGAGTAGTATTGCAACCTGAAGAGAAGAACAATAAAGGTATATGGTTTGCGCTGTCTGGACTGACTCATTGTAAGGGTTGCTACAGTGCCATTCAGTGAAGGACAAAAACTGTTTATTTGAAAGAGACATGACATGGTTAACAATCCCAATCCCTGACAAGAAGTTGTCCAGTTGACCAGTTAAAAGGCGTGGTCGATGAGGGGAACTCAGGACCATGGTTGTTTATATTTTATGTGAGCTATTCGAGGTTTCCGGAATCAACAATTCTCAAGTCCAATTCGATCTGAAAACAGTGGAATAAGAGCCTCTCTGAGGGATGTACTATTGACATTTCTTAATATCTATCTACAGAATACGTTATTTATCAAAACGCAGATTTCTCAACACGGGGTTGCTAATTCTTTGCTATTAAGGGCAGACGACTTCGTAATCATTCCTTATCAGTTATCGTTTCGTGGTAAAGGTGAAGAAACGGAAGAGGAATCGAAGGGTTGGTGTGTTATGTCATTAGCCAATAGGGTGGCAATAAATGTAGGCACGTACCTTACGAACAGATGGTCTAGCGTTTTGAAACAAAGTCGCGGCAGCACCAAATGCACGGTCAATTCTTCTCTTTCCGCTCAGCTGCGGGGCTTTGTCAATGACTGTATTAAATTCGGACATGCTCGAGTAGCCATCAAAGGGCAAGAGAGGATTTGCATCAGTGCTGAAAACAATAACAGAGCCTCGAGACTTTCCCGGCGCGATATTGAGGTACCTTGCTATTAACTTGACTAATTCCTTTTCCTTCACGTAGTCTTGTGGCGTGACGCGTGACGAGGAGTCCAACATAAAGATCACGTCAGCAACAAAGTCGTAAGGACCGAGAGCAGCTGTCGGTAAATCACAGCACAAAATTACGTACGCATCAAAGTTTGTCAGCGTTACTATAATTTTGTATCCCTATTTTGACATGTACTATTTAACTTTTTGTCACAAAAGCATTTTTGAAGGAGGAGATGCATGCTTTATAAGACTATTTCCTTTTAGCGAACTATACATGTGTGACAAACGAAGATTTTCACCTGAAAAGAGAATGAATGCTCATTTCTTTCTTTACTATGAAACTAATCCAGCAGCATTTTGCTTCGTAAGTACATTCAACTCCGAACAAGAAAGACAGTGTTGACTTAGTGACGTTTGAAAAAAATATTTCCATATCAAAAATATTTATATTTAGAGTTTTATTCCCAAGCTAAAGAATTTAGTTCTTTTTTGATATCTACCACATATTCGCTTTTTTCACTATGGTTTGGATATTGCATTGCAGAGGCTTTACCTGTATGGGTGAGAAATAGATATACCGGTAGATGATATTACACGGCGGCGCAAAGATATGATTTTTTTTCAGGTTGTGAAAATAAAGTTTCACTAACAAGTGCAGCGAGTGAGTAAAATATTGGTTTGACACGTGCGAGCGAAAATAAAATTCATATCTTAGACAACTAGACAAACTGACTGTTTGTACAAACAGCCGTAAAAAGCGGGAAAGTACTTCTTCAATATTCTCAATGGTGAGGATATGGAAAATTCTTCACTCGAGTCCCGGATTTAGTTTCGTATGAATTTTACTAGAGGTGTATTTCCCTTTAAAACACTCGTATCTAGGTGACAAAAACAAAAACAAAACCTTGTTATATTGCCTTTTTTTCGTTCATGTCCTTTTGAAGTCCAGAAAGTTCGCAACGTCATCCCAAATAATAAATAACTTTACGCCAAGGCCACAGTAAACCTATACCCAGTAAACCTATATCTCAAATTCATGAAAAACCACACCATCAACGAAAGCTTAATGGGACACCGTCAAATGAAAAGAGAGAAACAGGGAAGGTCAATAAATAAGGTCACAAAAAAAATGGTGAACGTTTTGCTGGTAAACCCTGGTGAAGATCACGATGAGTAGCCATGGGTTAAACATAACACCTCTTTCGTCACCCGGGCAATATACTTCCCGAAATTTCTGGTGAGGCATACACCCTGCTTTCTGTAAAACCCTTACACTATTTCAGACCAAAATAGCGGTGATTTTCCATAATTTAGATGGACGTAACCCGAAAATTGACACGCTATTTCAGAATTCTAAAATTTGTGCTCGTCTCTAATAACCAAGTATGGCTTCCATGTGGGTAAGGGGGCAAAAATGCTTCCTTCTAAACGGCATACCCAATTCCAGGCCTAAGTACAAAAATAACTTATTTGTGAAAAATATTCAAAATCTGCACCATATTGCTGACCAAAACGTCTCGAAAACCATACATTTTGGATTCATACCTATATACTTATAGATGAGATAGCTCCCTCCCCGCCCCAACCTCTGGTTTCAATATCTGGTATAAACCTGGTAGATATTACGAAATGTCGTCATACCTGTATCATAAGACACATGTCTAGCCAGGGGGACCACATAGACAGGCAGACTTGTGAAAGATCTCACCGGGAACCAATCTGATCCAGCAGAGCCCCTCAGAGGCAATATAATAAATTCTGAACTGATGGTTACTGCATACAAGCGGGCTCCAAGATCGTAAAGCCTTTGGAAAGACGTGTCTAGGACTCCCGTCTGAATCCCACCTGGTTGATTTCCAGTAGTGAAAAGAATAACAACCTTAGGTACAGCCGGCCGTGCCTCGGCAAAAACGTTTCGCGCTGAGTCGATAGCGCGGTCCATTCTTCGCGGTCCGCCTACCTTTGGCGCGTTGTTGATGGCGCTGTGGAATTCGTCTGTTGTGCTTGTGTCGCCGAACTTTGTAATCACGGTCGCCGTGGAACCATACGTTATGACAGCGCCTCTGGTGCGAGCAGGCATTGTGTTTAAATAGCGGGACAACTGTTTTACGAACGTCTTTTGGTCGCTGTAATGCTGCGGTGTGACGGAGTGGGAAGAATCGAGAAGGTAAACAACATCCACTGCCAAGCTGAGCGGTCCCAAAATAGCTGGGAAGAAATAGACAGTGATTAGAATTCCAGGGAAAGCAAAATAAATTAATCAGCACGTAAGGAGTTATGCTATAAAACGAGATTACAATATATACCTATTAACAAAATTGTGCACTTCAAAGCATTCGACATCTTTATCATTTATCTCCAACCACTCGATCTCTTTGCCACATAGCAAATTTCAGCTGCAAGGTAGCTGCGGTAAATCCCAGGATTCGAGTTCTTTTTAACGGCGGCGGCAACTCGGCTCCAAATGGCTCCAAGAAAACGCTAAAAACGTCGAAATATCGAAGCGTAAAATTATTCACCAATAACACCCAGCACTTGCCAAATACGACATCTGGATTGTTTTAATGAGGTCACCCAGATTCCCAGTGCTATCAGCGGGATTGTTAAAAATTAGCCAACGTGAAATTTCGTTTTACGATTGACTGAAACCCAGTGTTTTGTTCTTTTTTTGAAATTCTAAAGAACTGACTAAAGGACGGTTAAGAGGTTTAGGAAGGACAAGTTTTTCTGTAAGATTTTTGACAGTGAAATTACAACTGTATATGTGTAAGGTAGACTGGATTCCGCTCTTTTCGTATCCGGCCACAATGCAGACATGAAATATGACACATGACCCGTGATTTGTGAAATATCTTTCAATTTTGAGGAAGGTGGATCGGTTTGCTTTTTAGTGTAATGGCTTTCTTTTATCACGACCCTTATCAAATTATTTTCAGTAATACAAGACCGTTGACATTTTCATTG